AGGCTGGGGCCGGAGAAGCTGAAGGCGGCGTAGCCTCTGCCCTGCCCTCGTTTCCTGACCCAGGGAAATTACAACCGGCTGGTGAACGATTGCCGCCCGCACCACCGACTGAGAGCTCCGCCACTCGGCGGCTGCTGTAGTGCTCAGGTACGCAGCTTGGAAGCCAAGCCGAAGGAACCAGGCTGGCCCGCGGCCCGGCTCAGGCTCTTCCTTAAGAGACTCTTCTTCATCAGATATAAAGGTCTCACTGTTTTGGCCCAGTTCAGCAGTCTATCCCCGTTCAGGGTACTCATGCCAGCCTGCTCTTCTTGTTACAGGCAACAATTTTATGTAAAAACCCAGCACGCCCCGTCCAGAATTTACCCTGGGCTGGTGCTGAGGCAGGCCCGGCTAGGGTGAGCTCACTGAGCAGGTAAACTGGAGAGAGAGAAACAAGAGCTGTGAAAATGAGAAAACTTGCCGAGGAGTGTAGCATCATCAATCAGCTGCTAATCTGCCAACAGTTCATCTCGAGGCTCAGATTAGTGTCCTTTCACTAATGCCAAACAGGTATGTCCCCATGAATGAACAGATAAACAATAAAATGTGTTGTATGCATTCTGCCAGAAATCAAGAAAAACTGTTTTCTGTTTCACACAGTTTACATTTATCTGACCAAATTCAGAGTGTGTGATGAAATGCTGATATGTAGATTTGTGAATCCCCTGTGTTTAATTAACACTTTAATTTATTAATTTACGATTTATTGGCCTATTTAGTAAACATTATTTACACATTCTGGAGCAACTTACTGCAAGAATGGTCTTTTAGAAGTAAATTTGAAAGTGGATCCTTCAGTTGACAGAGCACGTCCTGCAGCATAGCAACACCACCAATCTGTATGAAAATCCATGGACTGACAAGTTCTGGATCAAGCCCTTGAGGTATATATTAGAAAAACACTCTTTTGGTCATCTGTATTAGCATAGCATCTCCAGTGGCAGCTGGGAGCAGGGTTGTGTGATGCTGGAGATTGAATAACCTTTCAATAGGAATGATATTTTTGTTCTTAAGATGTAGAGAAATTGAAATCAAAGTGTGAGTAACATGTGATACTAACACCAGAGGCACCACAGACTGTAGAAATGACACAGTAATAACCACACAGATTAACAGCTACCGTAACAGTCCTACATCAGACCTGCACTGTCAGCCCCTAGAGCTAGACCACACCCAAAGTTTTATCCCAGCTGACAGCCCCAACTGGTGAGACTAAGCTGTTGTGAGAGATAATCTATTTGTTGTTATCTCTTGCACAATCTGTGAGAGATCCTCTGTTTGTTATCTCTTTTGCACCATCCCAGTTCCCAGCCTCAGAGGCAGAGGGTGTACAGAGGTCCTTCCCACTCCTATGCTTATGCCACAATAGCCCCAGGCAGTGCTACAGACCTGGGGAAGGGTGGCTGGAAAGCTGTTCAGGGGAAAAAGACCTGGGGGTGCTGGTCATCAGCTGGCTGAACGTGCGCCAGGGGATATTCAGCTTGGATATCAGGAGGATATGCAACCCTTTGGGGTTGTTAGACATTGGAATGCGCTGCCCAGGGAGGTGCTAAAGTCACCATCCCTGGAGATGTTCAAGAAGTGACTCGTGGCATTCAGTGTCATGGTCTAGTTGACATGGTGTTGTTTGTTCAAAGGTTGAACTTGATGATTGCAGGTCTTTTCCAACCTAAATGGTTCTTTGATTCTCTGATTCTGTAAACATGGCAGTGAAACTTGGTGGAACCTAGAATAGTGGCCTGGGATAGGTATTGTTCAATAATACGCCTTCAGCATGCTGATATTTGGTTTTCCTGTGACAAATTAACTGATAGTAAATTTTTTTTTTTTGCTTCCAGTAGTTCTGCCATTCCTGACAATCTTGTACACTGTATAGGCTGAATCATAAAGACTGTAAACAAATACAATAAACAAAACATGTTTATTTGAATTATTTCCTACTTAATTTCCAATTTTGTTTCTGCTCTAAAGGCTGGATATACCAAACAGGTCTCTGACAAATATTTAATGCTTATAAAAATTTTTCAGAGTTCAAGTTCCTAAAGCTGTAAAGTTTCAACCAAAGTTGTGCAGCCGTACCCTGGATACTTATTCTACTCAAAGAATTTTTTCCAGAGAATTCTTTCATATGGGCCTCATTTTTCCCCTGGACTTTTAAAGTTAGTAACAAGTAATTTTTAGCAGTTTCAGCTCATGGGTCTTGGTGTATTTATTCAACAACATAAAAGAGCCTCTCATCATCCAGTTTTGTTAGTGTCTCATAGCTCTAATCTTGACCTAGTTTGTGAATGTTTTATTTATCGACAGCAGGCTGCACAAACAGCCTCCTCTCGGAGGGATTCCAAATACAGGCTCAGTCCAAGAGGATGCAGCTTCTCCAGGGCATCCCTACCTCCCCCATTTTTATTTTTGTCAGCTACGCCCTCCCTCCTAAAGGGCCTTTAAGGCCTCATTTTTCCCTGACAGTATTTATTTTTTTTCCACTAAGAAACATTGCCATGACACATAGTTATAATTAGTTTCTCCTTTCTCCTGCAAACTATGACTACAAATCATGCACACAAATCTTGAAGCATTATTTGGAAGTGTCCATGATGGTATGACTCATTCCTCAGCTGAGATTGTAAACTAGGGCTTTGCATTTTTCTCATCTTTTAATAAAAATAATCTAGGAAAAGAAACAGTCTGAAGCATCAAGAAAGGAGGAACAACAGAAACCCTGAAAGTAAGTTGAGCACCTAACAATACATTTGTTCTATTGGCCTTTGTGGTGCTTTATGGCACTTCTATTTTAGAGAACAGGCAGACATACTAAGCGGATGAAAAGCTGGACATGACCTTACATGGTGCACTTGCAGGCTAGAAATCCAACTGTACCCAGGGCTGCCTCAAATGAAGTGTGGATAGATCAAGGTGGCGATTTCCCCTCTACTCCACACCTGTAAGATCTCCCTGGAGTACTGTGTTTAGCTCTGGGGAGGGAGGACGTGGATCTTCAAGTCCAGAAAAGGGATATGAAGTTGATCAGAGGGCTGGAGCACCTCTCCCAGTGAAGACAAGCTGAGATAATTGGGTTGTTCAAACTAAAGAGGGAAAGTCTCCAGGTAGATCTTATAGCAGCCTCTCTGTACTTAAAGGGGTTTATAAGAAAGATGGGGACAGACTTTTTAGCAAAGCCTATTGCAATATGATATTGCATAGGTAATGTTTTTAGAAAGGCTGATTTTGATTAGGTATATGGCATACATTTTTTTAGGATGACAGTGGCATAACACTAGCACAGGTTTCCCAGAGAGGTGGTAGATGCCCCATTCCTGGGAACATTCAAGGTCAGGTTAGACTGAGGCTCTAAAAAATCTGATCTATTGAAGATGTCCCTGCTCAGTGCAAGGAGAATTGGACTAGATAACCTGCAAAGATTCCTTCTAACGCAAACTATTCTATGGTTCTATGATTAAACCCTTAATGTCAAAGGATTCACTGACCAAAAGACAAAAAAAATCACCCCAAACTAAAACCTACAAGCAAAGAAAAAGCCTATGTGAAACTACTGAAAGATTTTTACCCATTTAATTCTAAAAAGTAACATGACACTTCGTAGCTGCGTGTTGAAAAAACCTAGACATTTATACCATCTATGTCTTCTCAGGCAAGTGGACTTGCAGCATATTCTGAAAGTACTTGGGCAGAAACTGCTTTCAAGATAGCTGTTTCGAATACCAGCATAACACTGTACCAAAAAGGCACTGCTTGAGAAAAACAGTATCAAATGAGAGCAAATAGAGATTTCCACTGCAGGAGAAGTTATTTCAAGGGCAAACATAACAGGCTTCAAACAAAGCAAATTGAACCAGGAGAAGTGAAATACTCCTGTTGTCAGAGTTTCACAGGCCTCCTGTAGAGAGCTACAAAGCCCCACAGACTCTCTGGGGAGGTTCAGGCCACCACCCTGAGACTATGGGTGAGGTTTGACAGCAGGGGTACCCCAGAGCTGCTTCAGCTCTGAAAAACCAGCAGAAAGGTCATATGGTTGCTATAAATTCCCTCAAGGAAAAGGAGCTATGGCAAGAAATAGGCAGAGCTTGGGGGTGAGGGTGGAAAAAAATGACAATGCCTAACCTCTCTAACCTCTGTAATTGTCTCTCTAACCAGCCATGGCTGTTTTGACTGTTGGCTCACTCTGTGGCCCCAGAGCAGGTGCTCCCTCCCTCTGCTCGCAGAATATCTGCAGGCTGAATTTACTTTATTATTTTCTCATCATATGCCCAAAGTGCACCTTCTGCCCAGCTCTTTGTCTCTACCTTTCCCCCAGCTGTTACCTTTTCAGCATCTCATCAGCATATACTTTCAATTCCCTTTGAGACTATTTATAAAGGTGTAAAGAAACATAAATTCTGTTTTCTCCCAAGTATATTAGAGATTTGACTGCTTTGTAGCATACTAAAACTGGACTCATACAAAGAGGCTCTGAAAAGGTCAAATCCTGTGAATATTCAGTTCCTAGCTGCATTATATGCAGCTGTGCTTATACTCGTTTTGTGTTCATTTTGTCAGGCTATACTAACAAATGAGTTTGCTGATATTATTTATGGGATAGTAAATCTTATGTGCAACAACATAAAATTCATACTAATGAGCAGAAATCCATCACTGATCTGTGTGTTCAGTCAAAACAAAAATAAATATTGGAGACTGTGAATACCAAATTCTTAATAAGTCCTGGAGATACACAGTTTAAGGATTAAATTATTCATATTTTCCACTGACTTCAAATAATAAGTGTATGTGACAAATTTATAACTCATTTGTTGTTAATTTGTAAAAGGAAAAAGGTAAAAATTGCCGTATACATGATTCTTGCAGTTTATATCAAATAATATCCTCCTAATTTTAATCAATTTAGAGTCTTGAAAGTTTCCTAGTGACGACCACTTCAGTTAGTTTCAAGAAGATTTTATCACAGTCTGAATTGATTTACACTGATATGATTTCCCTGCAGCTAATCTGGTTTAGTCCTCATGAAGATCTAACCTGAAACAAAGTACCAGAAACAGCTTGCTCAGAAAGTATCCAGAGATGGAAGTGCCTGGAGTGGAGGAGCTCTGGCTGGTAGAGAATTTGTTGCAGTTATTTCCATCACACCCTAAGTTGCTGCTCCTCAGCATGTCCAGTGAAAGAAGGGTGGGTGTAATTGCAACATGGCACAGAGGTGACGCAGCAACATTTAATTGTACCAATACCTCTTTTATTTTTTATTGAGTATCTGAAATTTTTTACTGAGTATCTGATGGTCACTGAATTGGGATCTGTGGATGCCTCCACACTCCATCCCTTCAGCACAGTGTAAAGCAAAGATCATTCCTATAATACATCTAATATGGACTAACATGTAATTTCATTTTATCAGGCACCCAGAGAGGGATGCTTTGTTTTAATATAAACTTTTTAATAAAATCTTTGGAGTCTCAATGGAATTTTAAAGAGATGGTAAAGTAAACAACAGAAAGCAAAATCAGAAAGAGAAATGAAGAAATGAAGTCCAGGAGGAAAATAACAGAGGAAAAGGAGGCCATTAATAACTATAATTAAGTATGACTTGAAGATGTTGGTGAATATAGTGGCCCTGTGATCATCAGCATAAGGCTATAGCATTCAGTAGAAAATGTCAGCTTTTGTGATTTCCTGGAAAAAAATTTGCCATCCAATGTCTGTCATTGTTCTGCTCTTGCATCATCTTGTTTCTCATCCTCAAAGGCCTCAACCATGCTGTCATTCAGTTCTGTGAGCTTTTGTCTCCTGTCCTCTTCTCTGCTACACCCTCACAGACCCTTTTCTGCTTCTTTTACCGTTGGAGTGGCTTGTGTAGAGGCACAGCTTGCCCAGCCAGGCTTTCTGCAGCCAGCAGTCTTGCCTCTCTGTTACTCAGTGGTGATACTGAAAAGAGCAGAAAGATGGCTGTAGCACCCCCTTCACTCCCCCAGTTCTGCACAAACTGGCTGCTGAAGGAGAGGCCTTTCTTTCATCTCCCATAGTTACCCCTGTTGGCTGCAGCGCTTTCAGGGGCAAAGATGGGCAAAGTCATCAGGTACACTGTGCTCCCCTCCACACCACATATACTGGGAAATCATGAGCATCCTTCAGGTGCATATCCAGGAGCCACTGCAGGCTGTCACACACACTCTGCCTTGGATTTTATGATTAACTGCAATTTGTACTGTAAGTGTTCTTGAGAGATTGAAACCTTGTTTTAACCACACGCTATACCCTTCCACCCCAATCTAAATGCGCAAAATGTGGAGGGAGCCAGGAGGCAGCAAAAGCTGGGGTGATTTGCCCAGCACAGCTCAGTGGTGGAGGTAGAAGCAGAATGCAGTTTTACTGCATTCTCTCCTGCATTTTCCTGCATTTTCTCCTCTATCTTACTGAAATTTTCCCCCAGTAAAGCAAAGTTTATAGTCCTATGTACTGTTAAGCCAGTACAGCTCTGGGCTTTTACTCTGGATCATAAAAGTACTTCAGAGGGTTGAATCAATTTTATTAAATGACATTTCATCAAAGGTCTTTTATGCCAACACTCTCTTCTACACCCCTACCAATGACTGACTTCCAGAGTGAAGGAGAGAAAAGGAATGAGGAGGGAATGGTAACATTGCTTCTTCAGATCCTAATTACTAATGCAAATTTTGGATTTGTCTTATGGATGATATTTAGTTTCTAGCAAAGTTAGTGAGTACTACAGCTCAACTTGGATAAAGAGGAAATCAGATTGACTTCATAGATCAATGACTTGACACAAAAGCCTTCTGCATGCAGACTAAACAGACTTCTGTTAAAATGAACCATGCAATCTATGGTCAGAGTGCTGACATACTCAGGAAAAAAAG